ATTGAAATACAATTTAATTTAAATACAACGTAATTGAAATTCAATTTAATTTAAATATAATGTAATTGAAAAATACACTTGAATTGAAATACAATTTATAACTGAAATACATATTGATTGAAATACAATTCAATTCAAATATAATGTAATTGAAATACAATTCAATTCAAATATAATGTAATTGAAATACAATTCATAAGATTGCAGTCCAGAACATCGAAGAAGTGAGACATATTTGTACGTTTTTCTTTCACAACCCTTAATTGTTGTTTCCTACCTAAAACAGGTATTTTCATAGTTACACTATAATTTGGTGCATTTTTGAATCGCAAGATTCAATTTCACACGCATAAGACGAACCGACAATACATAATCCATACAAAACGATAAGCCCTATAAAATAGAAACACCATAGACGAGACAAACAATTTTGGGACATAAAATGTTGAGATCGCGCGGTGTGCAGAGCGGCGTAGAAAAGTTAAAAAAACGTCGAGGGAATAAAACGGTTCCAGGTATAGCCAACAAATTGGTAGACGCGGCACAACACAACAAGGTGTACATTCCAGCGCCGCGGTGCGGCGCGGCGCGGCAGTGCCAGCGTGAAACGATCACGCCTCACGCAATTGGCAACAACAAAGTACCGGGCGAGATAAGCGCGATCCCGGAGTAGAAAACGCTGTTCGAAGGTGAAGATCGAAGGGCACGGGACGCGTGCGATTCGAGCATTCGCCCGCGATAGGATAATCGGCCTGTGTGGAAAAAGAGCCCACGGTTAGGCGACCCATGGCCGACTCGACCGTGGCTCCCTCGGCTCTCGTATAGTACTCTTCCATAGTACAGGGTGTCCCGAAAATGTCTCGCGATCCGAAAGTGGCGGGTTCCTCGGGTCATTCGAAGCAACTTTTTCCTTTAGAAAAATGTTCTCCGAGGCACCGTTAACGAGTTATCAACGAAAAAGCGGTGACCAATGAGAGGCGAGCTCGGCTGGCGCGAAGCGACCGAGCCAATGAGCGGAACTGGGCTTCGCGCGCTGGGGCTGGGCCGCCTCGCGTCGGCCGTACTCGATTCTTATTGGCGCACTGTTTTTCGTAGATAACTCGTTAACGGTGCCTCGGAGAACATTTTTGTAAAGGAAGAAGTTGCTTCGAATGATCCGAGGAACCCGCCATTTCCGGATTGCGAGACATTTTTTGGACACCCTGTATGCTCGGCACTCGGCGCAGGCGCTCGACCGCACGCGATCTGGGTCGACCGATTGCAACAATGCGCTTTGTGCAACGCGCGAAGGGAGGAAGGCATGGTCGACATATGCACCGGGTTACCTGGTCGTTCGCCTACGTGCACGTGCCGCGCAGTTAGGCTGTCCGCGGCTCTCTCTCTCTCTCTCTCTCTCTCGTTCCGTGCCATTTGTTCCTCCGCGTTTTCCTTCGGCTCTCTCCGGAACGCGTCCCACAGCGGTCTGCCGGAGCACCGATCCATGGCCGAAAGTCAATATTCCAACTTTTATATTTTATAAACGATTGCTTATTTTTTCTTTTTTTCTTTCCTAATGGGTTCACCGGTCGGAATGCAATTGTGCCGCAGACGTTATCGACCGAGCCATTAAACGAATGGTACGATTGGATGACGATAGGAGCGTCGAGAAAAGGTGTAGGCGATCGAGATACAGTTGTGCGGCGCGTGTCAAGAGTAAAGCCGCGAGTGAAAGTAAGGTTATGATAGAAAGAATAAGATCAATTATCGTTAAAGTGTTGTTGTTTCATTGGTTTGCAACCGAATCGAACTGTGAATATTCTTTATGAGAAATAACGTTTTGTTTTTTCTTGTTAATTGCACTGTGGCTAATTTCTTGGTAAGCAACATTTACGACATCGCGGAGCTTTGAGAGCGAAAATATTTGCTCGTTCGAACGGTTCTGTAATATGTAGACTGCGGATTTTGTCGCATTTGGGAGAAATATGTGTGGTACAGTCGCAACACAAAACATTACAGAGAGTACAAAGATTTTTAAGAATGATGCTACATTATTTTCAACCTATTAAATATGTTAAGAAGGAAGGTAACCTACAAAGTAAACTGTTATTATAACTATTATTAAACTATTGAACTAGATTGTCATATATAAACGTACATACACATGTACACAGTGCAAAAGCCGTTATCTTTTAATAATATAAATATTTAGTAAGGACAGTCTGTGCAGGAAAATTCAATCGAATCTGCACAGAACACAAAACATTGCAGAGAGTACGAAGATTTTTAAGAATACTGCTACATTATTCTCAAACCTATTAAACTACTATTATAACTATTATTAAACTATTGAACTAGATTGTCACATATAAACGTACATACATATGTACATAGTACAAGGGCCGTTATCTTTTAATAATATAAATGTTTTAATAAGGATAGTCTGGGAGAAAATTCAATTGAATCTGCACAGAAGCGTGGGTATTACTTACGCCAACCTCGCTGTAACAGATACATAACCTATAACACATAACCTGAATTAACTTTTCGTTAACGAGTTATTGACGAAAAACAGTGACCAATAAGAATCGAGCACGGCTGACGCGAGGCGGCCCAGCCAACCAGCGCGCGAAGCTCAGTCTGTCTCTTATACACATCTTCTTCCTTTACAAAAATGTTCTCCCTGTCTCTTATACACATCTTCTTCCTTTACAAAAATGTTCTCCGAGGCACCGTTAACGAGTTATTGACGAAAAACAGTGACCAATAAGAATCGAGCACGGCTGACGCGAGGCGGCCCAGCCAACCAGCGCGCGAAGCTCAGTCTGTCTCTTATACACATCTTCTTCCTTTACAAAAATGTTCTCCGAGGCACCGTTAACGAGTTATTGACGAAAAACAGTGACCAATAAGAATCGAGCACGGCTGACGCGAGGCGGCCCAGCCAACCAGCGCGCGAAGCTCAGTCTGTCTCTTATACACATCTAGATGTGTATAAGAGACAGACTGAGCTTCGCGCGCTGGTTGGCTGGGCCGCCTCGCGTCAGCCGTGCTCGATTCTTATTGGTCACTGTTTTTCGTCAATAACTCGTTAACGGTGCCTCGGAGAACATTTTTGTAAAGGAAGAAGTTGCTTCGAATGACCCGAGGAACCCGCCACTTTCGGATTGCGAGACATTTTTGGGACACCCTGTAAATACATATGCGCTTCTTTATGTTACGCTTTCTAATGAAATTCGTGCTTTTAGTTAAAATTAAAGAATAATAGCTATAGCTCCAGTTGTCAATTTATTGGCATAAAAGGTTTCATTTTCTCTGTCGAGGTTCCTCCTTCATTGAGAAATCGCGGTGATACCTGTACTTACCCCAGCATCGGCGATCGGCGAGGTTATGTTGTTTTCTATCGGCGTGATTCAGGATAATCGCGAATTCCACGAGCAGGGAAGCAGCCGAGAAAGGAGCCTGTCGTGGTTGGCCCCGTTGCGCAATCAGCGCGGAGCAGGAACGAACGGGGGAAGGGGGGAGCGGGATCTCCCTCGAAATCAATTAGAAAGATGCATTGCACCGACGCCAATTAAGTTTTCCCCGGCGACAATGATGAATAGCGGTAGGCGTTTATTGCGGGCAACGCGCCGATTATAAAGGTCATCGAGTGAAAGTACCCCGGCCAATTAATACCGATCGATGCCGCGGCGATCCACTTCGATAATAATTGGCGTGCTCGCGCGCGAAAATCCTTCCTCGTGATCCATAGGCGCGCGACTGCGCAACCGGTGCGTGACCGTATCGCGATCTATCCTTTTCCTTGCACGCCCTCCGAGAGGATGCCTCGCGCGCACGTCGCCTCGCTCGATAATAATTAACCGACCGACCGCGCGGACTTTATGCATTTATGGCGTATCGATCATTCTAATCCAATCCTTTAATAACGAACAATTTTCTCGCTCGAACAATTTTCGACGATTCTTCCGCATACCTTCCCAAAGTTTAAATTGTTATATTATAACAATATTATTATTATTATTATTATTATTATGTGATATTATTGCAAAAAGATTTATACACGATACATAATAAAATAATAAAATAATAAAAAATAATACAATAGCATATAATAGCATAATAAATAATAATAATAATAAAATATAATATAATAGCATATAATAGCATAGTAAATAATAATAAAATAATAGCATAATAAGAACTTATACAGGGTTAATTTCGTCTAACTGTGAGATATTTCTGTGCAGTGAAACATCTCGTTGTTGAAGTTGCAAAAACAATGTTTACAACAAAAGCAATTCGACAGTATCAACAATGTTATCATTCATACAATGGCGGAGGATAATTCAAGGTCATTCTGATCTTTTCAAAATCATGCCACACATTTTCATATTATACTCCAGTAATAATTAATTGAAAAAGTTAATTGAAAAAATTCCGATCTTCGGAACGTCATATCTCATTACAGAGCCGTCCGAATGAGCTGATACTTTCGATTTCGAAACTCCGAAAGACCGTAAACCCATTAGAAGAAAAAAAACAATCTTCGAAAATATGCACGTCGGCGCCGCTGGTCGCGACGACGCATCAATTCGCGGGAGGAAATTTTATTCGTCCTGCGAACGGTTCACGGTGCCCGTAAACGGATTCATTCAACCCCCACAATCGCGGCAATTTATTCCCGCAAGAACCTCGGGCCGGAACGAACGCGGTTTCTTTCCGTAGAAAACTATCGTATATCTCGCTCGGCGCTGCGCTGCGCGGCGCGGCGCCATGTTTTTCTCCCCCCTCCTCTCCCCGCGCCACGGCCGGGCACGCACAAGAAGTTCGATCCTCTTCGCGTTTTCACTTTCGATTCGTTCCACTTCGGGGATCGTTTCCCGGCCAGGAAAATCGGTGGAATTTCAGGGAATCGAACCCGGCCGGACCGCGCGACGGCCACCAGCGGCTGCTTATTTTTCCGCCGCATCCCTCTCGTTCGCGAGAAACGTAATCGAGGTTAACGATAAACACCACGCTGCTAAACGTTTGCCCGGTTGGCGAGTTTCCTGCGCGGCCGCGGCGTCTCGGCGTGCGTGGCGCTGCCGTCCGCCGCGGCACGGCGCTGCTGCGGCGCTTCTGCAAACCGAAACGGAAGCGAAGGGGTGCAATTACAGCGTTCGTTCGTTACTTTTCCTGACTGTGGCCAGAGCGACTATGTATCTCGCCGGTCGATTAACTGCGAGCTTCGCCATTCCGGCGAACGAACGAATACGTACGCGGCCTTCTATTTATGTACCGGGTGGTCCTCTGGTTACGGCAGGTCCGGCGTGCCGACATTTTTCAGAATCGGAATAATCGAGAACCGAGTCGAATCGTAGCGGCGTTAGTCACGTGTTCGGACACAGCCCGATTCAGGACATTGAATGTGATCGCGCAACGATCCGCGACTGAATATCACATCCGGATGAAAAATGAAACGAAAATATGAATCCACGTTGCAGATCGCAGACTCTGGATAAATGGAGGAAAATAAATAAAGTGAGCGTCACTCTTAACCTAACCACAAATGTTATTTCATTTACTAATAATCGTTGGAAGTTGTTGTGTTCTACTGTTGTTGTATATTAAGTAAAGAAGCATCGAACTACATGTGTGTATATACAGGGTGTCCCAAAAATGTCTCGTAATCCGGAAATGGCGAGTTCCTCGGATCATTTGAAGCAGTTTCTTCCTTTACAAAAATGTTCTCCGAGGCATCGTTGACGAGTTATTAACGAAAAACAGTGCGCCAATAAGAATCGAGTACGGCTGACGCGACGCGGCCCAGCCAACCGGCGCGCGAAGCCCAGTTCCGCTCATTGGCTCGGTCGCCTCGCGCCAGCCGAGCTGGCCTCTCATTGGTCATTGCTTTTTCGTTGATAACAAGTTAACGGTGCCTCGGAGAAAATTGTTGTAAAGGAAAAAGTTGCTTGAAATTACCCGAGGAACCCGCCACTTTCGGATTGCGAGACATTTTTGGGACTTCCTGTATATATATGCGTTCTAGTCATTTTCTACAATTGGCCACGTTTTATAAATGAAAATCTGTTGAATTCCTAGGTGCACGATTTTAAGTGACAGTCACTGCAGAGAGAAATAAATGGAGAGAAATAAACGGAGGGAAATAAATACAGAAAAATAAATATAGAGGAATAAATATAGAGAAATAGAGAGAAATAGATAACGCGGACGCTTCCGCCATAAATGGTAGAAGATCAGAAGCCATTCCTCGCGGTGGATCGAGCCGGATCCGTTCGGGGATACACGGACAGTTAATTAACGCGCTCAGCTTCCAGCGGCGAGGGGCGTATCGCAATTTGTAACAACGGCAGTAATTTAACGATAAACAGTTCTTTTTTGCGGTGAAACGGTGAACAGTTGTCGTTAAACGATTCGGCTTGAAATATCTATCGGCATCTGCGCACCGCGCAGTATCTGGTCCAAAAAGCTGCCCATGTATGTAATACGGTTTTACAATAATCGTCCGTAGGATGAACAACTTTCGTTGTCCGGGCTATTGGAATATATGAACAACAGTGTAGCAGTATTATTATTCTTTATATTATTTTTATATTACTTTATTATTATTATTATATAGTATATATAGTATTATTAGTCTTTTTATTATTATACTATCTATTTATTATACAGGGTCATCATCATATTTATATCAACAGCCGGAAATTGGGAGTACTTGAGATCATCTGAAGCAATTTTTTCTTTAGCGAAAATGCGATCCGCGGCTTCGTTTACGAGTTATTAGCGAAAAACCGTGACCAATGAAAGAGGCGAGCTCGCCTGGCGCGCGGCGGCCGCGCCAGTGGGCGTAACTGAGCTTCGCGTGCTCGTTGCCTGGGCCGCCTCGCACCGCTCGAGCTCGCCTCTCATTGGTCGCTGCTTTTTCGTTAATAACTCGTAAACGATGCCTCGGAGAAAAATTTTGCAAAGGAAAAAGTTGCTTCAAATCATCTCAAGAATCACTCCTTGCTGGGTGTTAACATAATTATGTACTATAAAAGTATCTTCTAGCTTTCTTACTGGCAACGTTAACGTTAAATATCTATATATGTCTGCGCCAAAAAAAAAAACGGGTATCATTGAACGATCGAAGCACGGCAGAAGCCGCGGGAACGAATCGACGATGCTTTATTTCCTCCGAAAGGTTGGAGATCCTTGATCGGCGCGTCGTGGTACACGCATAGATAGCGGATCGGCTCGGCTCGGCTCGGCTCGAGTCGGAACCGAGCGGCGCTGAACGCGTCCGCGTATTTGCAAATGTAATTGCCCCGGCTCTCCGTCGGATCGGGATACACGGGCCATTTTAAGGGGCGATACGAACGCGGCCAACGATAGCGGATGGGATTATTACGGTGATTCCTTGATCGGCGCAATTAATAGGTGGATCGTTGGCGCGGGAAAAGGCGGGAGTGGATCGGCGCGCTGCGGTCGATTCCTCGATCGAGAAATGGGACAGAAATCGTTGGCGACTTGAAAACTCGTTTTCGTCGACGGCTCGCGAAACGAAGCGTGCATTATTTCTCTGTCAAGCGTAACACGTCGTTATTGATCTATACATTATTTTTTTATTTATTTCTAAATCCGCGAGGCTTGGTTAAAATTAGAGGGTCTGGTGTTATGCAGAGAATAGAAATTTCTCCCAAATTCGCGCTCAGGTTGTTACAGAAAAATAGACAAAATTTAGGAAGAGGACCTCGTTTTTATAAAATTGTTAACAATCAGTTATAAACTATAAAAATGAGTCGCTGAAAGAAAGAATTAGAGAGAATTTACTGTATATTGGTCCCGTTAATACCTTGGTAATTTAAGCGTTAATCCAATAGGCACCGGACGTCTTAAAGACGTCCATTTTACGTCCATTTTAGGTCTGAACGTCCTTAAGACGTCTTAAAGAGTGCGAATCACGGAGAAATTACTGTACTAGCTTATATAAAATAGAAAAGCGAGGCTTAACGCTAGCTATTTACGGAGCACAAAAAACATATTGCTTCATATCAGTTTATAAAAGCAACAAAAAGACATTTATTCTGATTTTTAACGCTCGTTAAAAATCATCGTAAATTAGAAGATGACAGTGTCCGGTCATTTCGACGGGTTCCGTAAAAAGAACTAGCGTTAAACATATATAATTTTTCAGTTGTCGCATGTTTTTTCGTTCCACGCTTTTTGCGTGGCAATCGAGCGCACAGCGCGCCGTGTCCGCGGCTCGCATAAATCCCGATCGTCGTTGCAAAAAACCGAACCCGTAGTCGCGCGGATCCGCGGGACCGACCGTTGGATCGTTGGCACGGTAGATCGGTATCGTGGCCGGTTCGCTGCGTGCCGGAAAATCGATCACCGTTAGGAGTTAGGACGTAGCCGCGGCATTTCGAAGCGCGGACACGACACGACCGCTTCGAATGCTTGCTGTTGCTCGCGCGGACGCGTGCAGGATCAGCGCGCCGCTCACCAGATCCCGCCGTTCGTACGTGAGAGAGGATAACGATAACGGGAGTGCAACGCCTGGGAAAACGATCCCCGCGTTCGTTCGTCTTCCGTGAGATGTGGAACCCGCTCCGGCGCTCGACTCCGCGCTCGGCTCCGCTCGGCCCCCGCCACCGCCGCCGTCGCCGCCGCCGCCGTCGCCGCCGCCGCCGAGACCCGGCGACGCGCGACGCTGTAATACAATGTTATTTATTTACCGCGGCGCGGAGCGGCGCAGGGAAGCGCTGAGTGTCGCGGAGCGGCGCAGGCAAGCGCTGAGTGTCGCGGAGCGGCGCAAGGAAGCGCGGCGTGGCGCGGAGCGGCGCAGGGAGGCGCGGAGCGTCGTAGAGCGGCGCGGGGAGGTGCAGGGAGGTGCGGAGGGGCGAGAGAGTTACCGGCGGACCGATTAAACGATCCTCGGGGCCTCAGGGGCGCCGCGGGCGTACTCTCCTCGCGATGACGAGCATCCATGCAGCTAATAGCGGCGCGCACAGCTCCGAGGACGAGCCGACTGAGCGGAGCGGAGCAGAGCAGAGCAGAGCGGAGAGGCCGTGCACCGTTTTTACACGGTTCGTGAACGGAAGCCTGATATTCCTATTAATTTGTCTCTATTGAGCAATCTCGAGAGCACCATTATTCCGGCGATTCCGCCGATTTAGTTTCCCATCAGCTCGCGATTACACTGTTCAACACGAGTTTTTCCTTTCTGCAATATCCGACGGGCGATTCTTGCTGAGCGTCGCTTGCCAAACGCGATTGCGCGAACGAAACTTTTGCATCGGCGTCTGCCATCGAAAAATACGAATTTTTGCGAAGCAAAATATAGTACATATATATAATTATTTTTATATAAACTGTATAAATTGTTTTTACGTTTAGAAATATTACGAAATTGTTATATATATACAATAATTTAATACAACAATTATTATATATATAATTTTATATATATATAATAATTTTCTAATATTTCGAAATGTTAAAATAATTTACATATACTAATATTTATATATTTATATCGGTATAATAGAGTACAAGTAATTATATTAAAATATTATATTAATTATGATATATAATTATTAATTAATTCTCTCTATTATATAATTCGCTCTATTATACCGATATAAGTATATGTATAAATGTTTGTATATATAAATTATTTTTACATTTAGAAATATTAAAAAATTAAGTATTGATAAATAAATACAAATAACGTTGAAATTGAAGGTCTCTCGTTCGGGGTTGAACAAAACCAGCGCGTCGTAAACTCGACGAAAATGTGCCGGACGGTGACACTGTAAGCGGTTGAAAACGCGAGAAGAAAGAACCGTGATTGAACGATGACCCGGCGAAGTTGCTGTTGCGAGTCTGTTATACGGGATTATTGGAAGTTGGCGCGCGATGTCTAGAATTCAAGGAAGATCCCACACGCGAGGCTGGGTCGCGATCATTACGGGATCATTGCGGAAGAAGCCAAGACAGCGAACTTCAATGCGAGGATCCCATCAGGAGAGGCACTTGCGACCATTAAAAGATTATTAGAAGCGGCCGACGAACGAAATTCAATGGGAACGTCCCGTGAGAAGGTGCAGCGGTCGGCGACTATCAAACGATTATTAAAGGCAAACTTAGGGCAGTCGGATCGGAAAGTTCAAGGTGACATTCATAAAACGCGGCAGGAATGATTAGACTGCGGATCCCCCCCCTCCCCCACGGGCGAATGCTCTCGAGATATAAATACTTTTATGGCGGGGCCACCTCCGGCGATTGCCAACAGATGGCTATCATTCCCGCAAGAGACTGATCCGTCACCCGTGTATTAGATGTGATTGTATTACGATGTAATAAACTACGAATTACAATGTGATTGAATCACTTTGTAACTTAATTCGATGAAGATTTGAATTACGAATTACAATGTAATCGAATTACAATGTAACTAAATTACAAATGTAATTGAATTACAATGTAACTGAATTACGAATTTCAATGTAATCGAATTACAATGTAACTGAATTACGAATGTAATCGAATTACAATGTAACTGAATTCCGAATTACAATGTAACTGAATTACGAATTACAATGTAATCGAATTACAATGTTACTGAATTACGAATTGCAATGTAATTGAATTACAATGGAACTGCATTACAAATTACAACGTAATCGAATTACGTCGTAATTTAATTTAACAGCTACCTGAATTGCGATTTACAACGTAATCGAGTTACGTCGTAATTTAATTTAACGGCTACCCGAATTACGAATTACATTGTAATCATAATTCCCCGAGTAATTCGATCGTGATCCCGCGGTACTCTCGGCTGAAAGGCGGCGTTCGCGCGCCACTTTTCACAGTGTCACTGGGTTACTGGATAATTTTCCAAGCGAGTAAGCGCCGCGCCGCGTGAGAGCGAGCCGCAGCCGAGTGCATTTACGGGCAAGGAGCTCTCGATTCGCTCGAACGTGGCTCGAGCCTAGCCACGATAGCCTCGTAAACTATTCCGCCAGCATAAAAAATCGAATGGAACATTAGCAACGCGCCCGCGGAGATACGGGCAACGCGCGCGTCACGCGCGGTTAATTGCGAGCGCGCGGAACGCTCGGCCGAGCCGCGCCGCCCCAAACGTTGTCTTCTTTCGATGATCGTGTACTATTATTCGCATTCTGACGTTCCGTTCAATGGGCTCTTGTCTCGCGTAACTTGAGCACCGTGCCGGCGAACTGCGCCAGCACGATCCCGCACGGTTTCTCAGAAAATTCAACGCCATCTAGCAAACATTACACGAAACTTCTCAACCACCTTTCTCCGTCGAATTCTGGATTCTGGCGCTTTTGCTTTTGTTCCATTACGGAACTCGGTCTCTTTGGTCATCCTGCGTAGGAATCCTTTTCTATAAATTCACTTTCGATAAATTCAATCGAATGCTTTCATTACAGGGTTATATCAAGGTTATGTTCACTTTTCTATAAATTCAATCAAATGCTTTCATTACAGGGTTATGTCAAGGTTATGTTCGAAAAGTGTCTCGCAATCCGGAAACGGGGAATTTCTCAGGTCATT